GTTCCCCACCATCCACTACCCTCTGGAGACCTATAGCCGGCTGGGCACTGCTAGTGACCCAGTGCCCAATACCCGCTTGGGGTTCACCTTCCCCTCCATCAGTCCCGCCCCTTACCCACCGAGTCTAGGGCCGAGAGTATAGGGCCAAGCCGGATCCGGGTCACTGGGACGCAGGGCGGGGGAGGGGGAGAGAGGGGTTCATTAATAAAGCTGACCCTGGGCAAAATTGCAAACCCAAACGACCTCCGCCAAGGCGGTGGGTGAAGCCACGCGCCCTGGCGGCCGCACTTTGGCAAGGAGATCTCTGCGCCTGGACTTTGCCTGCTGGGGCAGTTTTTAGAACAGCCCTGCAGCCGGACGCCCAGCAGAGGTACTGCAGGCTGGCCTCACCCCCGCCCCCCGCCCTTGCACGTGACTCCCACAGGCCAGTCAGCAGCAGCGAGCCGGAGCGCAGGGGCGAGGGGACCCAGGCGGCGAGTTAGGGACTGGGAGGCTGCTGGCACTGTGGCTGCGAGAACCGCCGCGGCCGCGGCCAAAGCTTCTGGGCCCGGGAGATCGCTCGCAGCCCTCCTGGGAGCTCCAGCCCCCGCAGGTACGGCTTTTTTCGTTTCCGACCTTGCCCTTTCTCGCCGATCGCGGCACTGCGAGCTCCCCGCGCTGGTGTGCCTGGGAACAGAGAGGTAATTAGTAGGTGGAAAGGAGATGTTAGTCGCTCTTCTTCCCCCAAATTTGCCAAAGCCTGCTCTGCCTTTGGCTTAGCAGCTTTTTTAAAACAAAGTAAGATTTGGGGGGAAAGCAGAGAGAGATCTTTGAAGTTGCTTTTGGCTTCTCTTGGTATGAACTTGAGCGGTTTTAATCCCGCTCCCGCGTGCAGTTTCTCCAGCCCTTGTTTGCACCTCGCAGGCCAGGGCCCGGGTGGTGATGATGGCCGTGAGAAATCACCCTGACCCGCTGACCCCGGGGCAGGCACACGGCAGCTCGAACGCGGAGGGGCTCCGTCCGACCGAGGAGTGTCGCGCCCTTTGGCGATTGAAGAGTGATGGGATGAGGAAAAATGTAAAAAAAACTTCTTTAATAAATTAAGTAAAAATACTATTACACCAGCACGCACACGGAAAACAGCAGGTTGAGTTTAGTTAACTTGTTCTCCACATTGTCTGCTGGACTCTGTCTATATGCCCTTCGAACCGGCTTCCTTGTCTTTCTGACTGGGGTGCTGGGAGCTAAACCCCCCCACAAAGCAGCCCTACCCATCCGCAGCGTTTCTGGGTGACACTAGCTGAGGGCCGGGACCTGGGCGGAGAGCAGTGACGTCCCTCTGCTGGCCACGGTTTGCGGAGGAGATCCAGGATCTGTGTCTCTTGGCTTTGGGCTGGCGTGGGGGTGCAGGGTCATCCAGGGGAGAGGAGGTCGCCCCAGTGGTGAACTGCCACCGCGTTGAGGGAATGAAGGGCCTTTCACTTGGGAGAACAGGGTGGTGAGGGACCCCAAGGCCTGGGGAAATCGGGCAGCAAGGCTGACGCGGCCGGGAAGGTTGGGGAAGCAGGGAAGGTCGGGGAAGCGCCAGGGGAAGCCTTTCCTGTGCTTCTCAGAAAGGGAATTGGCAGCCAGGAGCAGGTTTCAGGCTGTTGAAGACGGGAAGGTTTTCTTGGGGGTGACGCGGTGATGCCCCCACACTTCTGAATGCGTTCGCGCGTGACAGTTTTCTGCGCAGCAGGCCCAGAGCGAAGGTGCGAGCTGCGCACATAGAGCAGGAGTGACCTGTAAATGGACGCGAACATTCTGGCGCTCTGAATCCTCCCGCTCTCAGAAAGAGATCGGAAAACGGCTGTGGGTTGCTCTCGCCCAGATAGATAGCCTTTCCTGTCTGGCCAGTGAATTTGGGGTGAACTGGGATGAGTGATCAGAAATAGAGGGAAAACTGGGACATAGGCCTGGCCCGCACAGCGAGGCCAGTCCTCTGCTATTCTCAGGGGCTCCCGGGACTCCCTCCGCGGGCGGACAGACGGATGCCTGGACCAGCGCTCAGTTACTGAAAAAAGCAAGAGTCGTTTTTTAGGAAATAGTTTATTTATTGGTGGGTGTTTTTTTTCTTTTCAGGAAGCTATAGAGAGTTATTTTCTCCACCTTCTATTGTCCAGTAGTCCAATTCTGAGGCAATGCATGAGCCATTTAAAAAGACAGAGAATGGAAGACAAATGTTAGATTTATGACATTTTTAGCGTTTACATTTTAAAACTTGTAAGTTAGCTTCTATTGAAAGTTGGATTGCAAAAATTATATACCTTCCTTATCTGCAGTTATGTGAGAAAAAACTCACGAAGTTATGTTTCAGAACTGCAGAAGTTGAGTATTACAGAAAATATAATGAAATAGGTCAACTACTTGATCTAAAAATTAAATAGTGGGTATTTTATTAAGATAAACCTATGTATTTACTTACTCAAATGCAGAAATTTCTATGAGGTATTAGGTTTTGTTTTTTGGGTTTTTTTTCCCTTCATTTTCAAAGGGGAATGTTGGTGATCTCAGGTCAAAATTTTTGTATCCGCCCTCTAACCAAACTTCTTACTATAAGGAAATGTCCACCAAACCAATAATTTATTGTATAGTTTAGAAAGCAAATATTTAGGAGTCAGTAAGTGACTATATAATACAGTGCTATTTTCATTGTTATTATTAGTGATGTTGCAAAAATGGTTAAAAGCACTTAGAAGATCCCACCTCCAGAATTTTTCATAATAATAAAGATAACCATTTATCTTTATCATGATATCTGAGGCACTTTCTTATGGTACATTAGAAATCTGTGATAATAATAATAGCCAACAATTATGTAGAACTTTCTTGTGCTTTTTATAAGTTTTTAATAGACCCTGTATAAGTAGCTCTACATCCATTGATTTTTAATTCTTACCATGACTCTAAGACAGATACCTTTAATATTTGCAGTTTTGCAAATGAAGAAACTGAGGCTCCGAGAAAGAAGTTAAGTAAGGTGTTTAAAGTCATTCATGCAGTCAGAGGTAAAGCCAGGATTTAGTAGATAGTTCAGTTAATATCTTTGTAAGTTTACTATTGCAATGAAAGAGAAACCGCTGTTAGGGGTAGCTGCCTCCTCTGAAGGAGAAAGGACAGAGTGTAGCGGAGGGCCTCAAACCCCTGGAGCCCTACAGATCCCCTTTCCCCACCCCTTCCCCTGTACTTTGATCTTAGACAAGTTTCAAAACTTTCTGAAGCTTCAGTTCCCTCTTTTGTAAAAGGAGGAGAGACGCTTTTACTTAGTGGAGTTGCGGAGAGAGGGACCTAAACAGAACAGGTGCTTCAGAACGGGGAGCTCTTATTTTATCAGAAAAAGCGCCTGATAACATCAAAACACAGTATATAAGCATATAATCAAGTCCTGTGGACTGCTCTTTGCCGCTCTCTTTGGTGTTCTGATTCCAGACACGGGTGGACCAATGATTCTATATGGAAAATCCATTCAGTGCAATCGGAATGGGCCAGTGATTAGTTCTGTAAAGGACAATTTATGTTCCTCTCACTTTCTTACTATCCAATCTGCAACATCTCTAAAATATGTAACTATTTGCAAGAAACATATATCCTGTCTGATGTGATATCCACATGGTATATAGTGTGAGATTCCACAATCCTTTTCGCTGAGATGTAACAGACACTGGTCGTTTATTGAAACTAGATCCTACTTTTAGTTGAAAATTACAAACAAAAATTTCTTAGGTTGCTGGGTTTTAATAAAGTTTGTTTTTGTCTTCCGCGGGCAATGTAAAGTTCTTTCGTGGCCAGGTAAACGTAGGAATAGTTAGGGGGACAGAGAAGATAAGTGAAATTTCCTGGGTCCCAGGCACTCCAGGGAAACCTTAAATTCTTGGATACATAAAATATGTATTGGGACAATAATATGGTTAATAATAGGGTCAAAGAAAATCCTTCCTGGCAATCAATAATAAAAAAAAAAGTTGGCTTAGATCACAACCAATAATTCCATATCTAATCATCGGGAAGCCCACATTTCCAAGGGACCCCTCCCCAGGACTCATCAGATACCCCATGGCCTCCGAAAAACAAAGACTGCCGCTTCCTTGGAACCGCGTGGCTTCAAGAGCTGGACCCAAGAGTGGCCACTGCGTTTGCAGTTCGGGAGAAGCCACTCAGCCTGGGAAAGTGGGCGCTGAAAGCTCAGGCTGAACTCTCCCTTTCCTCTTCCCTCTAGGGCAGCGACTGCAGCGAGCAGGAAAGGAGGCAGCCTGAGCCCTGGCCCCAGGCCGCGGCGTCCTGAAGACGGAGCAGCGACGGCGCTGGCGGGACCCGAAGGCCCCGTTTCCCACACCCCAGCCCAGACCCCCTGCCTGGCATCTCCCACCCCTAGGCGCTCCTGACCTCCAGGCCCCGGGGCGGATTCGGCCCCTTCACCACCATCTCCGGGAAGAACCAAACCTTAAGTTGGGGTTTTCTTGAGTAAACAAGTCTTTTGCTCGATGATGGATTCCATGCGTATATATTTTTGAAGGATTTGAGAAGCAGCATTTGGTTTTTTGATCTTCATTTTTGTGACAGTCCCTCCCTCACCTGTACATTTTTTTTTGTGATTATTATTTTTCTTTCCGCTCATTGCACCTTGACCCGCGAGTGAGAGGACTCAGAAGCCAAGAGCTCGCTCGCAGGGAGGATGTACCAGAGCCTGGCCATGGCCGCCAACCACGGGCCCCCTCCTGGGGCGTACGAGGCGGGCGGCCCCGGAGCCTTCATGCACGGTGCGGGCGCCGCGTCCTC